TTAAATTTAATGTATGAATAATGAATTAAATATTTAAACTTATGAAGAATGAATATAGATTTAAGGAAACAAAATAACGTTTTAATTTTCGAAAATGGGCCCCCCCCCTTAAAAATTTTCTGACTACGCCCCTGCTTTAATCCATAAAAGTTTCCAAATGAAATGTTTTAATTTATTTTTATTTCATTTAAAAATCATTGTTTATTCCAGCCATATTTAATGCTGAATCCAAACAGAATCTACATTCAGTTTAAAAATAGCTCTTATCTAAAAAAGAATAAAATTCAGCATCAGAACAATCCTCCAGTCTCAAATTTCCATATTGCAGCAACAAAAATTCATGGTTAAATGATATTGCAGCTATTATCATCATTGTCCTTATATTTAACAAAAGCAAAGTCCATTTTCCACTTAAAGCACCATAAAGCACAGCGACAAAAAGTCTATTCAATTAAATAAAGATGTTTGCCTGAACGACAATGAGGAAATTGACGATAGCTCTAAATTTTACAAACAAACAAGAAATTCAATCCAAAAATTTACAGAATTAACTTTTATGGAAGCAATTTTGCACACACAATTCATTCACTTGTTTTATCAAACAACATGAACATTAAAGCTCATGAAGCTCACAACAAAGTTATAATAGGAGTAATAGAAGAACGAGAAAACTGAGACGGCAGACAATTCTTCTTCATCTTCAAGCTCATATTTTATTTTAAGAATTCCTCGACGCATGAAGAAGAAGACAAGAAAGTCAAGAGAGAAGTGAAACTCAGACATTTATAAGTGCTATCATGTTGAAGATATGAAATGTGAATTGGCAGTGTTTTAATTGAGAATAAATCAAGAAGACAATTAAAAATGAACTTGACTGAAAATCATATTCTGCAGCCAGCAAAAAAAAGTTCTGTCTGAAAAACAAGTTGAGTCAATGAAAAAAAAAAAGAAAAGGAAGTCTACATAAATTTAGTTATGGAAATAAAAGCTTCATTAAAAACTTTTTTCTTGATTTATTCATTTGACTCATTTTTCATTGATATGACACAGAATATGTTGAAAATAGGAGAGGAAAAGGTTTTAAAAAATTCCTATAAGCAGTCTATAATGCCTTTGAATTGATCTTATATGATGCTAGACAGTTTAAAATGGAACCTAGCTGTTGTCCCCCTGCACAACCTAAGCTATGCTTTGTTTACTGGATAGCAGGAAGAATATGAAGACATTGTACTTATTGTCTCCAAATAAGACTGAGGAAGTGACGTATCCAAGGTGTTTGGTATCAAACCAGGCGCGTAGCCAGGGGGGGATTTGGGAGACAAATCCCCCAACGTAAACAGAAATTTCTTTATTTCGCTAGGTTTTTTATGAAAAAATCACACCCCCCCCCCCCCTTAAATTTTTCCATACATAAAAAAATTGTCCCCCCTCTTCAAATTCTTGGCTACGCTCCTGTATCAAACTAAAGGGAAAACAACATGATGGAAAAAATTTAATATAATTTCCATCAAGGGGTGAACAACTTCCTGTAAAATATTTAACACTGACATTTTACAACGATTTAACATCGATTTTATTTAAATTTTTGTGGGAAATAGTGAGAACATTACTTCGTCTTGTATTCTACTCACATCAGCCCCACCCTCATCCAATAAAACAATAGACGTCACCACTCAAAAACCACAAAAAAAGCTTTTTACGACAAGTGTTTTACAACCGAAATTATCAAATTATCGCGGCACCTTGAGGTAGGTTTTATGGATGTTTAGAAAATGGAAATGATCATATCATAAAACGTTGTTTATGTTAACCGAGAGACCATCATTAAATGCTGATGATAATTACATTAAATTCCCATTATTGTGGCTACGTAAATATTTGGTTTTATAGCATACGTCTGATTTAACAATTTGGCTTCCCTATGCTGTGTTATGTCTGTGAAAAACAAATTGTCATTAATTTTACCTGGAATGATGTTACACGAGTCTCCATCAGATGCCATAGAAATCAGTTTCTATTTCCAATTTAAACTGAAATTTCATCTTCGTCAATAAAGTGCACAAGTCTGCAAATATAAAATGCCATGGCATTGCATCTTTCTTGAGGCAAACTTTAAATTCATTCATTAATATATCAATTGCGCAATAGAATCTTTAATGATGACCAATTGATGAGCAACTAATTATGTGCTGAATTGAGTTCTTTTTGCTCATTTTAATATTATTAAGTTAAAATATTTATTGGGTCAATTTAGTCAATTTCAACAGCATTAAACTTAGCTGGCTCATTAAATTATAATAAAGGTGAAAAAAGTACTTTGCACATCATCCATAGCTGAAAAGAATGAATGCTTGTAGCTTTTTCAAGATCACGGTTAATTTTAATGCATTAATACTGTCGTATTGTAGCCCCATAATTAAATTGCTACGCAACTTATATGATGGACTTATGGAAAACATCTTCTCTGGATTATTTTTTAATAAAGTCATTAAAGCTGGTATGTTGTGTAAAAAAATGTATGAAAGGGAAGATAGAAATCAAATTAAAAGACATGTGAGGAATATACAAAATTTTTTGATGGCACTTCCTTCTTTTTGAAAACATCTAATTTACGTACGTGAAGAGGTTTAATGTGTTTTTAAGCAAGTGACGATTTTTTGATGAAGCAAGGGATGGTAACTCTAGTCAAGGGCACAGAATAGTGGATTTGGTGAACTTAACCACTGGCTCAGAGTGAAAAAATACCCCTCCCCCCCTTAAAGTTTTCCATATAAAAAAAATGGTCCCACCCCCTCATCAAATTCCTGGCTACGCCCTGCTCGTAAGTAAAGAGAATTTTCTATTTATACCTTGAACCTAGCTACTAGGGACATAGCAAGGTCACAAAAAATTCTTGAGCAAATGTTACCTTTAAGACAGGATTTGGGCTACTTTAATCTTCTTGACTATCCCAATATTCAGCTTATTACCAGCCGTCTTGCTCTCAGACTCGCATTATAGATCCCTGATTACTCAAGTCCACAAAATCATCAATCAAACTTCCTCAAACGCAATTTCATATCCAAAAAGATTTAAACTTCAAAAAATCACTAAAAATTCAAAGTCTATCCAGTCAAAACAATTCTGAGAGAATTATGCTTCCCTTGTCATTCATGCTTAAATGAATAGAAACAAATATCACTGCAGCTTATTAGCAAAGCATTTACACGGTTTTGTGATTTCAAAAAAAGAAAAATAAATTAAGGCAAATTTCAACGTATTATTCATTCTGGGCTATCGCAGATCCAACGATCTACAAATTTTATTTAAGTATTTTTTTGTTATTATTCGAATCATGATTCGGGTATTGTAGAGTAAGTGGATCTTTTTGTTTAATTTTAAGCGTCACTTAAAAGTCAATTTTATGGATGAATTTCTGGTTGTGGATTGTGAAATGTTAACTTTTTTGGACATTTTTATTGCACAAAGTGATTTTGCTGAATTTTCAAATTTATTGTTGTACTTTTGAATGTAAAATAGATCAATATTGGGAGGGGTCGTTTGTAAATGACGTTGATCAGAAAAATGGTTTTTTGGCACCCTTCTCCCTATACTCTTACATCCTCCTCTACAGCAATGGATTCCCTCTCTTCCGAAAAAGTTGGACATAATTTATGAATGACCCCTTTACCGCTTTTCATTCTTATCGCTTTAATCTTTTACATCGTAAGTTAAAGCGGGTTAAGAATTTTCTATCCAGATAGATAAAAAGCGATTATCCTTACAACATTTTATCAAAACCTTTACCTTTACATTGTAGACGATAGAAAATATTCAAAAGGGACAAATAATCCTATTAGATCCTTTTTATTCCATCAAGTCTTTGTCCAGAAAACCCTTCAGTTAATCTGTTTTTACGAGTGAAGCTCTACAATCCTTGTTTGTTATTTCCATGCCATATGAATGCAATGTGACTGTTGATGTCTACATAAGAAGATGAAAAGCACAAAGAATTTGTTTGTCGAGACAGAAACTGATTGAATTTTTTGTAGCAAAAAAAAAATAAATGCTTGCAGCACAATAAAGAAAGTTTGGGATTGTAACATTATGAATTATTGAGTTTTGATTTTAGAAGACTGGACTGGTTTCTAGTATGCTATCCCGATACCGAAGTTGAGACCCGGGAAAGTCTCGAGAAAGCATAGTTTCTAGAGCTGTCTAAGGAAGCAACCTAGTTACAATAAACATTTTATTTATGTCCCAAACCGTGTCAAAGTATGGAGAACTAATTTTTAATTCAAACCCTAGAAACCGGCCCCACCACTAAAAGTAGAAGAGAAGCTAACAAATCACAACATCCAGCTAGAATCTTTAAAATAATTTCAGTTTTACTTCCGCATATTTTGATTTCAGTCCATCAATAAGAAATTAATTTAAATTGACGTGAGAGAAAAGATTCAATCAGCATTAAGTCAACTATACTTCAACCTTAACAAGCTTCAATTATGCTAAAAAATTTTCTCTCGATTATTTCATCTTCAATGAGTCTAAATTATGAAAAACTAAAAGAGAGACTTGAACGTGACTAATTCATCTGAAAATTATTAAAAAACCACAGGCAAAAAACAAGCAGAAGCTGCAAAATTTAATGAAAATGCAAGATATATAGATGGGCTCATACAGAGTATACTTGACCATACTCGACCATACTATTTTTTGTGTACTTATACAAACAAAAATTTTTAAAATTTTCTATTTTCAAGTTTTCATTTAAATATCGACAGATGCAACAACATTTGACTTAAGTCAGTTACTTTAAATTATAGCAAAGCATTTGCAATACTCCTGTATCAACAAAACTTAACAGAAAGTTGAAAATTTTGCAAAACAAAAATTGAAAATTTTCTTTTATAGTGTTAGTGTTTTTAGAAAATTCAAATTTTTGACGTTTAAAAACTGCGATATTTTTGTATGAGCACATCTATATATCTTGTGAAAATGGAAACAAGAAGTCGAGAAAATAATTCATCATCGTTTCTATTATTTTATTCAGCACTTAATAGATTTTTTTTGTTTCCAGATCTACATCTCTTGCAGTAGCAAACTTGCATAAGTTTAGGCCATAAAAATAATGGAAACAAAAGAGAAAGATTAATCTAAGAAATAAAAAATCTTGCTTTACTCTACTTAATGTGCATCTGCTTTGAATAAGAACCGTCTTCGATGACTTCCAGATCGCTTACGAATATTGCGAATTGTCGTTACAGATTCTTGCGTTTGATCATCATCGCCAGGCATTTCAATGATTGGATCAAGTACGGATAGTGAAATATACTTGTGTGGTGGCTGTGGCGTTTCTTCGGAATCGACATCGAATGATGATGTTGAGTCAGAAATGTCTGATGTTGCAACGCTTGCATCAATATGATTTGTGGAACTTGGAATGAGTTCTGCTTGATAGTCATTTGACTCTTCCATTTCCTCACTTACACTTTCGACTTCCTTTTCATCAATCGAATTCTTTTCAGCTTCTTCTATTGAGTTTATCTCAACCATTGGAGATTCATCGTCACTTGTTATTGAGAGCTCTTCTGTTGGAATAATCTCATAAAGCTTAACTTCTTCCTTTAATGGACGACTTGTGTGATGCTCAATAATCTCCACAGTCTTAATTTCCTGTGAATTTTTAATATTCTCATTTAAAGTCTCTTCTGCTGTCAAGTTGCCAAGGAATGCACGATTCGAGTCATGATAATATTTTCTCGATTGTGAGCAGTCAAAGTTATACTGATGTTCCCAAACGCACACGAGTACACGTTGATCAAAGCGTGTTCCTGTTGGACATATGAATGAGTAGACACCCTCGTGGCCTTGAACACATCTGTGGAAAATCTTTAAAGTACATCCAATAAAAAACAAATTATTATTGTTAAATCAACTGTAAAATGTAATTATAAAGTCAATTGTCGTACCTGACAATCATTCTCCATATCCGCATAGTAACCTGGCTCAGTGTCTTCACAATCAAATTCACTATCAACAATATTGTCACGAATTGATTCTGAATCAGCTGGCAAACGTTGAATTGTTGGATTTTTTACTTCGTCTTCCTCATTACTATCTTCACTTCTCAGCGATTCCTCTGTATTTTCACTCAAATCTAATTCAAATGGCTGGAAATGAAAAGAGAAATGAGGGATGAATTTGATGAAGCATAAATGGTTGATTTATGTCTATAATGTTGATTTTTAAATAAATATCGGGAATGAATAGACAGCGACTGCAGAATAAGGTAGAAGGGGTGACCTATAAATTATCTTTTGTACCGTAACTTTTTATGTCTTCTCTTTAATTTTCATTTTACTGTATCTAGGTTAAATTTGATGACAGTTTTGATGACTTTTTGTTCAATTTCCTTTAAAATGAATACAAGCACATCTGCTGACTAAGTTTAAAAGTAATCACATCATCCAAAACTTTTGCTGAATCAGTTAAAATGCAAAATGTGATTTCATTTTATAACCCTTAATTTTATTTTGATAAGGGAAGCTCCATTTTCATGGAAAATGCTTTAAATAAATATGAAGGATTGCTCCATTTTAGGATGGGATTCAATAATATTTTATGAACAAGGAAGAAATTAATATTTGGGTTGAAATTAATTTAGATTTGAAGGAAGTTTGTGAACTTGTCAGACTTAAAACTTGATGAATATATCAATATTGGTATTTTAAAATATTGATTTTGTCATCTTGATTACATTAATGCCAGTCCCGTGTCTAGCTTTATCCAAAATGTGTCTTAAAGGAATAGAATCTGGCCAGAGAAAGAGATTAACATTATAGAATGTGACTAAGACAGTATGTCTTAAACGTTTCAGTCGGCAGAGCAGTAAATCATCTGCTTATCAATCCTCATCACATTAACTGCCACCATTGAACCTCCTAGCAACAATGGTGTTTCGTGGAGCTTAGTATAAGAACCACTGGACTAGGCTATCAAACTGTGTAGCTATTTTAAAGCGAAAAATCTGCATTCAGCAATAAATCACTATTTTTTTTTTGATAGGAAAACTGGAGCTTTGTCAAAACTTCTTTCCAAGACAATCAGTTAAAAGTTGATGGAGAGCTTGGTAATGAATCAACCCACCCCCCCTCTTAACCTCTAAATCAGTTGTGACCAACCATTTTTGTGCCACGGCAAATCTTGATGGTAACGACCTAAACTGTACACGGCATATGGTTCGTAGGATTCCCCGAATTTATTTGCGGCAAACTGCTCTAGATGATGACAACCCATTTCAGCTAAATTAACCCAAAAACAAGCTTTTGGTATTTCAGTACGAATAATAACTTTGTAGTCGAGTGTGATTTGATTCCCAAATTTGCAAATATTTCGAAAAATTCACATTAATCATAGCCCCATATTTAAACCCCATGACACCATCTCATTAAAAAAAAAGAATAGAAAGAGTTGATTGTTAATAAACAAATTGAATTTTCCACATATTAATTATTCCCCCAACATCCACAAATTTAAGAACAATAGCTCATCCAAACCACCATCACTTTAAAATAAATTCTAGAGTGAAGTTTAAATTGCCAATTACACGTTTAATTAGTTTTCAATTGAATTCAATTCATCACTTCACTCTTTTATTTTTTTTTAAAATGGAACAAAAAAAAAAGTTCTCCATAAATCCATGCCATTCAGCATCGGCAGCACGTGTTAGAATATTTTTATATGCAATCAGATTCACAAAAGTGATGCAAATTAAATCTCTGAATTGTTCTATTATTCAACACATTTGAGAGTGTGTTGAGTGTCACATAAATTTTTTTTTTTGGATTGAATGTATGAACCCCATAAATAGCTGACTGACTGATTATATTGCGCACTTATTCAAGTTCAAGAGCTTTTTAATGCAGCATTGATTTTCACAAAGTATAAAGAGTTCGACGACTTTCACACATAAAAATTTAAATAATGTGCCACATTCTTGTGCAGTTTACTTTTTTTTTGTGCTGCACGTATATCTCCTTATGTCACTTAATTGTGTATGCGAGTGCTATATTGAGTATGGGTTCACCTACATAAATTTTCATTATTTCAATTGACAATTCCTTCTATATCATCGCATGTGCTTGCCTGAGTATGGAGTGCCCGGAAAAATGTACAAATTTGTGTCTGTTCGTTTATTAATAGCCACAACAATTCACTGTCTCACTTCACACACTCATTCATTTAATATCCGTTATCCACTTTTAAAAATTTCACGTAATTCCTGCATATGTGGATATGGATGGCAAATTTTTTTTTTGTATCTATCCTTTACCTGTGTGGTAGTTGCATCAGTTGTATCACTAATTGCTTCGGTTATATCCTCATCCGCTCTCAAATGATTTAATCCAATTAGCAGAATAATGAAAATTAAATATCCACCCTTTATGCTCATCATCATTGTCGCTATAATTGCTTCACAATAATCATAAAATTCAGTAAAAATTACTTCACGCAGTGGAACTTTTGGATACACGGAAAAACTTTTTTTTTTTTATTGCACGGTTCTTTTAATTTTAATTTACACTATATGAGGTCGAGAATAGTAATGAAACTTAGTCAGTCGTTTAGCGTTATTTATATATTATTTTTGTCAACCACATTTAAATGCTATCCATTGAAGCAACTGAAAGAATGTTTTTTTTCACTTACTGTGCTGCCTTCTTATTTTTTTTTTTGTTTTATTGACGACCATACCGCTTGGTGAATTTTGAATTGAAGATGGAATGGTGGAAAATTAGAATATTGGAAGTAACAATATCAATATAAAAATTGCTTTATGGCAAGTCTGAATACACACATATGCAAGCATAAATCTATTAATAGACATGGCATCGAACATCAGGCTGACGTGCCTCAAGTTCTATATGTGCTTTTGTTCTCAATTATTTCAGCATAGCTGACAATTATTTACAATTCATTTGATATATCCTCATGTCTGGCTCGTTTTACAGTTTTATATTTTTTTTTATTTTTCATTCTTAATAGTCAGCTTTTCCATCATGCACATCTGATGCTGCTTATTTTTACTACCGAATTACAATCCAGAAAAGCCATTCGATTTGAAATCAATTCAAAATTATTCAGCAAAAAAATTATTTTACTATTTTTTCAGTTATTTTTTGCAACAATGTTGTTTTCATGCTGCTCAAAAATTCAATTCACGTTCGGCTACCGAATAAATTGTCTCGTGTAGGAATCTATCTAGTTTGAAGAGTTTCTTTCTTGTGCTTATGGATTTCAATAAATTGGAGAACATGAAAAAAATTGAATCTAGAGCACTTATGAATATTGGTGGAAAAGTGATGGTGGGTGGTCTATGGCAACGTGTTATTGCTTGTAAGCATAAGAAAATTTTTAAGACTTTCGTAGGCGAATTTGCCTGTACAAGAATATAAAAAAACGTTAAAAAAACTTTTTAAAAAACACGCTTTTATCAAAAAGACTAAAAACCAAAAAGATGAAAATAAAACTTAGATCACACTTATAGCGAATCAGGATTTTAAAAATTTTCTTGTGACAACAAGAAATGTAACATGAAATTTTTTCAAAATATTGTGATTAAGTCCAAGAACACAATGACTCTAAAAGCGTGGGGCTTTGAGATTTGACGTTCTCTTACTTAAGAACATAGCTGAACAAAGAAATTATCCTCAAATTACGCATTCATTAGTAAAGTACACTAAATCAATCGTAAAGATTTTGTATTTATCCGTACCAATCTTACTATGTACATAAAGTGTAGATTCCTAACATAAAGATGCAAATCACATCTATATGTAACATATTTATAACGGATTTTTCAAATTTAAATTCAATGAATGTCATTCATATGTTATGCAAAAATGCGTCAAGCCGTTAATAAATAGAAAAAATTCAAATTTTCACTTACGAATATTCATGAAAAAATTACTTGTCAAAATAGCCTACTATGATCGAAACCAAAAATGCTTTAAATTGCATTTTAAAACATATCTAGGTATTATAAATGATGAAAAATGCTAATATAGATATAAAATCGATATTTTTTTGAAAATAGCCTACTATGATCAAAACCAAAAATGCTTTAAATTGCATTTTAAAACATATCTACGTATTATAAATGATGAAAAATGCTAATATAGATATAAAATCGATATTTTTTTGAAAATAGCCTACTATGATCAAAACCAAAAATGCTTTAAATTGCATTTTAAAACATATCTAGGTATTATAAATGATGAAAAATGCTAATATAGATATAAAATCGATATTTTTTTTGAAAATAGCCTACTATGATCAAAACCAAAAATGCTTTAAATTGCATTTTAAAACATATCTAGGTATTAAAATAGATGAAAAATTCTAATATAGATGTAAAATCGATTTTTTTTTGAAAATAGCCTACTATGATCAAAACCAAAAATGCTTTAAATTGCATTTTAAAACATATCTAGGTATTATAAATGATGAAAAATGCTAATATAGATACAAAATCGATATTTTTTGAAAATAGCCTACTATGATCAAAACCAAAAATGCTTTAAATTGCATTTTAAAACATATCTAGGTATTATAAATGATGAAAAATGCTAATATAGATATAAAGTACATTGAAAATAAATCTTGGAGATTTTGTGATTATCTGTACCATTCCTACTACATAACGTGTGGATTCTAACATAAAGATGCAGCTCACATCTATATATATTTCATTTTGATTTATTTTTAAAATAGAGCAATTTTCATTTTATTTTCAAACTCTGATAAATAGAAAAGTCAATTTAATTAAATTGGTAAAGTGTTATAAATAATGTAATACATTAAAAAACATCATAAATTTATGCTCAAACTATGTGAGCTAAATGCATATCGCATATTAATAGTTATTTTGCATTAATTCGTGACGGACTTGTGCTTAACGGTTTTTTTGAAAATTCAAATTTTTACTTTCGAATATTCATGAAAAAATTACTTGTCAATTTTTTCATCCTCCCAAAATATCTTTAGCTTCTACCTTTTACAGTATAATTAATAATTAGCAATATTAGTTAAACTATAATGAATCATATAAATGACTTTTGATCATTTCAAGTATAATATTTTAAACAAATCAAAACTTTATATCATTGACATTGGATTTTTTTCCCATATAAAAAAGTTTTACTTAAATTGTACTATAGTTAAGCATTTTTGTGGTTCCAAAGTGTTAAAATATTGTATTGTCATCGGGAATACGTGTGTATACAAAATTTGAGCTCGATTGGAGCAGGAGAATTGAACGAAAAATCGATTGCAAGATTTGAACGTGACCAACAGAGCAACTCAATAAAAAGCGTGCTGTAATTATAATAATAATAAGAAAAATACTTTATAAAAAAAACTTTTTAAAAAAACTACGTTTTTCGCGTAGACTAAAAAGTAGAAAATAACTTTTATTCTTGGTTGTAAAGAATTTGGTTTTAAATTTTCAGATTATATTTAATAAATTTTTATATCCTAGTCAATATTGTTCACAAAGTTTCGAATAAGTGCACTTTGATCTTATCGTATAACTCAACAACTTAAAAACGTGGGCGCATTAATTTAAGTTTATCATAAAGTTTATGTGAAAACTTATTTCTCCTCTTATAATGCGCCCACGTTTTTAAGTTGTTGAGTTATACGATAAGATCAAAGTGCACTTATTCGAAACTTTGTGAACAATATTGACTAGGATATAAAAATTTATTAAATATAATCTGAAAATTTAAAACCAAATTCTTTACAACCAAGAATAAAAGTTATTTTCTACTTTTTAGTCTACGCGAAAAACGTAGTTTTTTTAAAAAGTTTTTTTTATAAAGTATTTTATTTTCTACTTTTTAGTCTTATTCTAATGCAATAGAGAAATAAAAATTATAGGGGGTTTATAGGTTACAGGTGTGTTGAACTCCACTTCGTTGCACTTCGTTACGTTCAACTGTTTATAGATTACAGTAGGTTTATAGGTTACAGGTGTGTTGAACTCCACTTCGTTGCACTTCGTTACGTTCAACTGTTTATAGATTACAGTAGGTTCATAGGTTACAGGTGTGTTGAACTCCACTTCGTTTCACTTCGTTACGTTCAACTGTTTATAGATTACAGTAGGTTCATAGGTTACAGGTGTGTTGAACTCCACTTCGTTTCACTTCGTTACGTTCAACTGTTTATAGATTACAGTAGGTTTATAGGTTACAGGTGTGTTTAACTCCACTTCGTTGCACTTCGTTACGTTCAACTGTTTATAGATTACAGTAGGTTCATAAGTTACAGGTGTGTTGAACTCCACTTCGTTGCACTTCGTTACGTTCAACTGTTTATAGATTACAGTAGGTTCATAAGTTACAGGTGTGTTGAACTCCACTTCGTTGCACTTCGTTACGTTCAACTGTTTATAGATTACAGTAGGTTCATAGGTTACAGGTGTGTTGAACTCCACTTCGTTGCACTTCGTTACGTTCAACTGTTTATAGATTACAGTAGGTTCATAGGTTACAGGTGTGTTGAACTCCACTTCGTTTCACTTCGTTACGTTCAACTGTTTATAGATTACAGTAGGTTCATAGGTTACAGGTGTGTTTAACTCCACTTCGTTGCACTTCGTTTCGTTCAACTGTTTATAGATTACAGTAGGTTTATAGGTTACAGGTGTGTTGAACTCCACTTCGTTGCACTTCGTTACGTTCAACTGTTTATAGATTACAGTAGGTTCATAAGTTACAGGTGTGTTGAACTCCACTTCGTTACGTTCAACTGTTTATAGATTACAGTAGGTTCATAGGTTACAGGTGTGTTGAACTCCACTTCGTTGCACTTCGTTACGTTCAACTGTTTATAGATTACAGTAGGTTCATAGGTTACAGGTGTGTTGAACTCCACTTCGTTTCACTTCGTTACGTTCAACTGTTTATAGATTACAGTAGGTTCATAGGTTACAGGTGTGTTGAACTCCACTTCGTTTCACTTCGTTACGTTCAACTGTTTATAGATTACAGTAGGTTTATAGGTTACAGGTGTGTTTAACTCCACTTCGTTGCACTTCGTTACGTTCAACTGTTTATAGATTACAGTAGGTTCATAAGTTACAGGTGTGTTGAACTCCACTTCGTTGCACTTCGTTACGTTCAACTGTTTATAGATTACAGTAGGTTCATAAGTTACAGGTGTGTTGAACTCCACTTCGTTTCACTTCGTTACGTTCAACTGTTTATAGATTACAGTAGGTTCATAGGTTACAGGTGTGTTGAACTCCACTTCGTTGCACTTCGTTACGTTCAACTGTTTATAGATTACAGTAGGTTCATAGGTTACAGGTGTGTTGAACTCCACTTCGTTTCACTTCGTTACGTTCAACTGTTTATAGATTACAGTAGGTTCATAGGTTACAGGTGTGTTTAACTCCACTTCGTTGCACTTCGTTTCGTTCAACTGTTTATAGATTACAGTAGGTTTATAGGTTACAGGTGTGTTGAACTCCACTTCGTTGCACTTCGTTACGTT